GGCTTCAGGGCTTCAGGGCTTCAGGTTTAAGGATTTTGGGGGGTTACCTGGGGTCTTGGGCTTAGGGGGTTTTGGGGTTCAGCGTTTCAAGGTTTAGGCGCTGTGGGTTTCAGGTTCAAGGTCTAGGGATTTCGGGGTTTAGGGTTCATTGCTCAGGGTTTTTGCGGTGTCCGGTATGAGAGATGAGGCTTGAAGAAGTTCAGGCTTTTAGGTTTAGGGGTGTATTGGCTTATACGCGCTCAGAGCTGGTAGGGTTCATTAGGATTTATCGCCATCACCCTAAATCCTAAACCCTAAACCCTAAACCAGGGCTTAACATTACAACGCTTCGGGCATATTGGGCTTACAGCGCTTCAGGGCTTGGGCAAGGGCTCGTTTAATCGGATTCCTCTAAACGAGGGGTTCTCGAAAGTAATGTAGGGGCCTTTATGATTACCTATATTGTTTGGAGGGTTCCTTATTATAACTACAGTATAATGGGCCCCAAAACCCTATTCTGATTATTAAGGCCCCTATATTCGGCCTTTTGGGGAACCTGACTCGAAGGTTGATGCCTTGGTTGACCTTAGAAGTATTGTTACGCATCCAAGAAGGGACCCTGGTTTAGGGAACTGCTCGTAAAGTATGGCTGTCGACAAAGTTGGGCAACTTTGTGTACCAGTATCAGAAACCTACGGCCTTTGAAAAAAAACTTCCCTTGACCGCGATCCCGCTTCCAACTGGCCCTATCAGCCCTGTCACGAGACTCTTTAACCATGACTCTCATGAACGCAGCCACTACGGTTTAGGCTTAGGGTTTAGGGTTTAGGGGACACTGATGGAATATGATGAATACTGAAACTTGGGCGGGTATCTCGAGACCCTAAGCCCCAATGCAGACTATGAATACTAAACTTTTAAACGCCCTTCGGAAGTTACTGCTCAAGGGGTCTGCATCAAGCAAAGTGCATGATGTTCAGCTTCTGCTGGCAGATGCCGCAGTACTGGGCTCCGAAGTAGAAAGCTGCCACATCGTAGCTGGAGTTCGCCAGCATTCCTGCCGAATCTGGGTTTGTGTTTAGGGGTTTAGGGTTTAGGGTCCCATCAAGGTTCATGGTTGCTAGGGGGGATTTTGCTTGTGGTGAAGTGGGGTGGGGTAGGCACCGACCTCAACTCAGCATCCTCCAAAGTTGAAACATAAACACGTAACTTACTCGACATTTTTGGAGGCAAACATTTCGGGCGCTCTGACGCGCGAATAGGTGCGCAGGGAACTGTACAGAATGGAAACCCACCAGGGCCATCTTAAGCTCATCGAAGCAAGCTTCTACAGTCTCCTGATTAGACCCACACTTGCAAGCAAACGGTGGTTGCATAACTAGGGAATCCTTCAAACCATAAGACCCATGACATAAAGATAGGAACGATCATGCGCTTGTATCTGTTTTTGCCATTCGATCGCGAAGCAGAGATAGCCAACCCATACACCCAATCCCACAAATACCACACCCAGGAGCCACCAACCCTGAACCTCGAAGCCCGAAACCCTTGCACCCAAACGCCACCCCGGTAGACCCCTGAAGCCCTGAAGCCTGTAAAGCCTCATGGAACCGCTCGAGGCCCTTCAAACTTGACCCTTAACGGAACCCTGAAAGGGACCTAAACCCTAAACCCTAACCCCTTAACATGAAAAGAACCTAAGCCCGAAACCATAAACCCTAGATCAACCCGTCAAGAAGCTTTTGAACGAACCTTTATGGAAGCAAAGCCTTTACCGTCCTGGGCCCACTTCCTGCACTAAGCCATCTCTGCAGAAGTTCGTGCCCACGAACCTCGGATGTCTGTCTGCCCTAAACCCTGGGTATGGGGCTTTAGTGGTTTAGGGTTTACGGGAAGCCACAAACCCGAAAGCCTAAACCCCTAAACCTGGCTATCCGGAAGCTCAAGGGATTTAACTGGGTTAAGGGCTGTATACGTAGGACCTTTAGGGCTTCAGGGTCTTTCCATAATCGCATACAGCTGTGTGTGCACATATATATCTACACATACACCTTCAAGCGTGCTATAAGGGTAGTACAAAGGTCTTGCTTAGGCTTCCTTTGAGGCTTCTTTGAGGGAAGGACAAGTACAGTAATTTAGGACGGGACTATAAGGGAAAATTCTATCGCTAGGTGCTCCTACACCTTGAACCCGAAACCTATACAGCTTTGTACAAGCCATATAAAGCCCTGTAGACAACCGCAACCCTTGGAGGCACCCTTTTAAAGGAGCACGAAAACCCTAAACCCTTAAGGGAACCTTCAAGGAACCCTCAAAGGACCCCGTACAGGAACCCTTACAGTACCTCTCAAAGCTTCTGGAATCTGACTAGCTGCCCAAAACCTCCAAGTAGCTGTCTGAGCTCTAAGCAACATTTGTGATAGATAGGCATATACATATATATAGATAGACGGATGGATAGATAGGTAGGTAGGTAGATGGATGGATAGATAAAGAGAGAGAGAGAAACAACAATAAGAGAGAGAGAGAGAGAGAGAGAGGGGCCTCAATCATCAAAACAGGGCCTGAGCGTATACCATTGTGTATACCATTGTGGTACACTGTAATCCATATCAGGGAACCCTGGCGAGTAGTACTACTACTACTTCACGCTTCTACTTAGGCCTAGCTCCTAAAGCTGCTTAGGCTTGCAAGGGTTTAGGGTTTCCCTAAACCCTTTGGAGGCCCAGGGGACTTAGTAAGTCGGTTATAAGTAGGCTTATAATTGGGGTACGTAACTCCAGCTCGGGTACTTATAACTCTTCTTTTCACCTACTTACTAAGTCCCCTGGGC